AGCTGCCCATGGCGGAGTTCACTAAGGCCTTTGCCACCTGCGGATTGCCGATTCGCTCGGAATGCGGTTTATCCAAATGGCGGACACGCACACAGAAACACAGCCCCACACCTTCAGGGCTTGTCTTACCGGGAAACCTTTCAGGTCTTTTGTGGCAGCAAATTCTGCAGAGCCATGCCGCAGGCAAAGCACCGCCATCGGCTACAAGCTGATGGCCTCCAACATGTACGTGTCTTAGGATATGGCCATGGGCCAACATCCTGTACCAGTGAACATCTCAATCCCCACTAAAATAGACAAAAATGGGTGGTGCACCGAAAACCCCAAAATGGGATCCCAAAACGGTTTTGACAACCACAGCCATATCCCTTTGAGAAACATCCAGGGCGACACCAGCAGCTCCGAGGCCCATCAAATCATTGGCACGGAGCTGAACTTGCGATCGGTTCAAATGCAGGACATGAACAATGGAGTCTGACCCCGGGGCAGACTGGTGGTTTCCTGTATTCCCAGACCCAAAAACGGTTCATTTATTTCACAGGGGTCCTACCGAATTCGCACCGATCGCAAGTGAATCCAAACAACGCAACCAGTCGACACATGTAGCAAGGCCCGCTCGGCCTCCTGCCAGGGCTTGTTGACTTCAACTGCCTCACTGGCGCATCCGCGCACTCGCTCCGTCGATTCGTCGATTCGCCACGAGACGGCAGTCGGATGTTTATCACTCCACAAAGGTACCGCTGGATTGATCAATATTCCCATTTGGTGTGGTTTTCCCCAGTGGTCATCCTATGTAAAGGACCTTTTGACCAACTCCCCTTTGGACAGTCTTGTTAAGCCTGACCGGTACCAAGAGGTACCGTCTGCCTGCCCAAACGTCAAACATCCTAATCAAAATAGGAATCAAGTGTATGAGAGTGGTTCGCGTGAGCTGATAAGCCATGAAGACAGACAAGGACTGATAGAGAGAGTCCATTAATTGTTTGTTGTTTATTTAATAGTAATAAGTAAAGGAAAGCTTTGCGTTTGCTGGAAAGTTTCTTTCCGCGTGTGATGCGTCCGAAAACATTGTGCTTTATGAGTGATGTCAGCCCGACTTGGCGACCGTTGTACACACAACCTCCGACCCGCGTCGCCTTCGCGGCTTTGTAGATGTAGCCCACGATTCGCTTCACCATCTCCTTGAAAAAATAGCCAAAAGGAACACAAACCTGATGGTCTTGAGCAAGGACCCCTTCTGTTTTCCTGTGCTGTGGAAGGCATCATGAGGAATGAAGGCTCCAACTCATGAATTGTTTCAAAACAAGTGCTGCCTTGTGGCATGTCATGAAAATCAACCAGCATCAGCCTGAAAGGTCAAACAGAGACCTCCAGCTCAATCCCAGCTTGGAACCTAAACAGCCGCCTTCCGCTTGTCCCGTGGGGATAGGACCCTATCTCAGAACTGGAAGACCCAAACATTCATATCAGAGGATACTCAGACTGTCACCCTGAGATCTCTGTCTCCACCTCCACCCCCCACCCCACAAAAAAGCACACCCAAAACCCCAAAACCCCAAAACCCGCAGGTGGTTCACCTCATTCAGCCCAAGCCGCCGATGAGCCCCACTTGTCTTCCTCCACCTTGCAGTCGTCCACAGCCTGCGAGGTGTCAGCTACTAAGTTTCTCCAATGTGAGTCAGAGCTCATCGCAATAAAACCAAACAGGTTTAGAGTTGAAAAAGGCGGAGATCCGCACCCATTTTATGGCAAGGGGACTGTCCCACAAACTAAGCTTCGTCTACCCGCATCAGGAAGGGAGGGAGGGAGGGAGGGAAGGAAGAGGGAGAGTGCCAGAGAGGGAGCGCATGCGCCGCTCTTGAGGATCTCTCTTCGGAAGCAGATTGTCTGACTCGCACGCCTCTGCCACGATGCTGTAGAGGTTTGAGTGAACCTGAGATGCAGCATGCTACATGAGTTACTGCCACTGCATACCATTGTTAACCCAGACTCTAGACACTCTTGATGAGTGCACAACTTCTGCACGTAGGCAAATAAGGACGTGTCACGCAGCTACCACTTGCTCTTCTATCAATTGTCGTGCCAAACGGATGCAGCCTCTTGAAGCAGCCCAAAACAACTCGGAACTTCAGGCTCTAACTCGGTGGTTTTCTCTACCGGGCCAGCCTTGGCCAAACCCTCCACTCCATAGGCTGTACCTAACCCCAGGTCTCAGGTTGGGACCCTCTCTAGGATCTGCTCATAGCTCACCTCAGCTCAGCTGGGCGCTTCAGAGAACTGGACATGTCGAGCTCGAGCGGCAACATGTGGAGCTGATTCTCACATCTCTTCATGTTCACTGGCTGAATCCCCCCCTGCCTGCCGGCGTGGCGGCCGCGCCTTATGCGAAACAACTCTCAGGAATCTTCCGGGGACCTCGAAGGGAAACGCCGCAAAAAAATGCGATGGTTTCCGGATTCCTTCTTTGACAGCACAAAGGTTCCCCTAAACACAATCCTCCCTTGTTTTTCATGCTGTCAAGGTATCAGCGAAAACTCCTGCCCCTAGGGAACTCATTCTCGATTGCAACCAAGTGTGCAAGCATCCAGCAGCAGCAATAGCAGCAGCAACAAGAACAACACCAATCACTACCAGTACCATCACCAGTAGCATCATCAACATCAACATCAACAACGACACCAACAAATTTGAAAAACAAAACAAACAAAGAAACAAACAGACAGACAGACAGACAGACAAACAAACAAACAAACAAACAAAGCAAACAAACAAAACAAACAAACAAACGACAAACCACGAGCAACAAAAGGGCAAACAACCACAGCCACAACCACGACAAAAACAACACACAACAAACAACATGCCACATGCAACATAAAAATAACATACCACCACCACAACCACCACCACCACCAACACCACCACCAACAGCAACAAGCAAGCAAGCAAGCAAAGCAAAGCAAAGCAAAGCAAAGCAAAGCAAAGCAAAGCAAGCAAGCAAGCAAGCAGCCAGCCAGCCAGCCAGCCAGCCAACCAACCTACCAGTCAACCATCCAACCAACCAACCAACCAACCAGCCAACCAGCCAGCCAGCAAGCCAGCCACCCACCCAGAAGAACACAACAAGCCAACAACCAACAACCAAAAAAAAGCTAGCGGCTCGATGCGGGAAGAACTGGTTAGCAAATCTGAAAATTGTGCGCATAAGGCGCGCATCTACTTCACGCGCGACGAAACGAACAACCGGATGTTGGAATGATGAACCAAGTTGATCCCTGAAATCCAAAAGCAAACTCATCAGCGCTTCAGGTCAGCATGAGCTCAAGCGATCTCCCCGGTGCTCTTTTTTGCGCTCCAAGAAATCATAGCGAACCGACGGGTTTGCTTAGGATGCCGCGCAGGTACGGCCGACGGCACCCGACCACCGCCCCGGGACCCGGAAAGCAAACCACCAATCCAAGCCACCAATCGCGGCGCGGTTTGCTTAGGGTGTCGCTTTAGCTGTCACGGTACAGCCGACGGTGCCCGTCTAGGGCGCGAGGCGCCAGCCGGCGCACGGCGCAATCGGGGCCCGACCCGGAAAGCGCCAACTACCAGACCAATCCACCACCGCCGGCTTTGCTTGGGATGCCGCTTCGCCTGTACAAAGGTACAGCCGACTGTGCCTGACCGGGGCCTGACGGTCGCCCCGATCGGGGCTCGATGGTGCCATCGTGCCGACCAAGGCCCGGCAAGCTCCAACTACCAATCCAATCCACTGCTGCCGGTTTGCTTAAACTGTCTTAACTGTAAAGCAGCAGCCTTGTGGAAGCCTTGTGGAATGCTTGTGGAGCCCTGTGAACCTTGCCTCAGGGCCACTCCACCCCATAGCCCTCGCAGAACCTTGTGAACCCTCGTGTCGCTGGTGAAACTGGCGACCTCTTCCCCAGACCACCCCTCCCGCAAGCAGAACCCTTGTTTGTGGAAGCCTTGTGGAACCGTGTGGAGCCTTACCTCAAACTGTCGTGGAACCGTGGTGGAACTTTGGTGGAAGCCTCAGGGCTGCCCCGGACCACCCCGCAGCCCTCGCAGACCTCGTGAAACCCTCATGGAACCATGGTGGAACTCTCGTGGAACCTTACATCAGCTGGACCACCCCGGAGCCTATCTGGGCTAAGACCCCAAAGCTTTCAGCTGTTGGGAAAAAATCGGTTGAACCCCGAAAAAAAAGGCTCGCGCGGATCTGAAGTGGCACGTCTGAGCTTGCGGCACCGCCACGGCCGTAGGTCATGCTTATCATGGCTGCGAACCCTCTGCAACCGGCGCCCCTCACTGGCTCGGTGATATTGAGATCTGTGTTTTTGTTGGGATGTGACTTGCCTGATACAAGTCCTCAACCCCTAGTAAGTGTAAAGCTGACAGCCAAGACCGCAAAACACAACTGGCAGCAAAAAGCGAGAAGCCAAGTCGAGCTGAGGCATGTGAGACCTATGCCACAATGGTTTAGTCTTGGCAGTCGACTTTAGCGACGAAACTCCAAATGAAACCACAAGACTTGCTACATCAACCTGCGCAGAGAACATTCGCTTAAAGCCACACCTTTTCTGATAAGCGCACGCCGCGCAAGTGAGGCACGCTTCAGGCAACGAAACAACTCATGATACAGACAACGAAACCAAGAAAGCACCAAACAACCATCTTTGCCTCGTGTACTGTGACCTAGATCAGGCTGCACTCCCATACTGGGAGATGCCATGTTGGATTGAATGCGAGGCAAACGAAGAGTGGAAAAAAAGTTGGGAAGCTGCTGCACTCTTCGTTGCCATACTGATGTTTTGCATCACATTCTGCCAGTGCCATACCAAAAGGCCGTCACTCATTTGAAGCAGCCGGCCGCAAAAGAGGGTCATTCTACACATGGTGCATTGCATGGGAGTGTGAAACTGGGTAGACCTATCTGCAAGTCCCACGTAGACAATAGACTTGTTTTCTTACAGAACACAAACCGCTTCCAAACAAGCAATTGAGATGCCTTCCAAATGGGTACGCGCCACAGCACGCACAAAGGAACGCTCACTGGATCAAGCATGTTTTCTCTGATCTTCAGCAGTCCACCACGATGGTAGCCTGAATCATGGCAGCCCCACACTTCAAACATCCATCCCTCACTGTGATAGAATCTGCATGAACAGGGGAAAATCTGATCTCCCAGAAGCAATGAATGATTGGAAAATAGCAAATCAATCCAAGGCACGAACGAAACTCAAAAAGATGGCAGACGAAACTCAAAGACACCAATTCCATCGGTTGGTCACCGCGATTGGACTGAGAGCTGGGCGTGCCACCATAGATCCCTCGGCAGACTCCCCATCCCTCGCCAAGAAACCGATTTTTACTTGCCCCCAAAACGACAAGAGGAAAATTGGGTGGCCTGAAGCGCATTTGGGATAAATTTGCAGTGGCCCCCCCCTTAGTGTATATCCATAGACTTCTGGCAATGTGTCAGTCGCACATTGCAAAGACCCTGAACCCAATGTGGCCAATGTGGCCCTGTCATTTATGGGGGGTCTTCTGGTCAGAGATTCCATCTAAAGTAATTACGTCATTGGGGCAAGCAAAGCGCCGCTCAAAACTTGCGCATCCAATCGGTGCTTGACTTAGGCTAAACTTGCGCATCCAATCGGTGCTTGACTTAGGCTAGTCACAATTCCCAGTCAGACCCAGTATTAATTAGTGACGCACTTTTCAAGGGAAGCCAAATGATTTGCACCACCAACTCGAAGTTTCCTATGAGACAAACCATGCACCTACGGCACCAAGAGGCGCGGAGGCCAAGAGGCCAAGAGGCCAAGAGGCCAAGAGGCTAAGCACCCCGCCCGTGGCGGCGCGCTCCCGCAACGAGGGCTCACTCAAGATGAGAGAGAGCCTAGGGCTGGCCGTCCCCCAAAAGGCCGCAAAGAAGCTGCAGGGCTTGGAGAATGCAGATTTGTTCGCAGCTTTTCGGAACAAGCATTGTTCCGCATGTCGTGCGGAACCATTCGCTCAAAAAACCAAGAAACACCTGATTTGGCCCACCAACAATGGACAATGTCAGTCTCTCAGCCCCTGAAGTTCTTCCTTTTCACGCATGATTCATCCCAAGAGTAGGCCCGCGACTTCTGGATCAGCTCGTTCTGAAAAGCTTGTCTGTTCCTGGCGCCAGTTTCTAAAGGCCTAGAAGAAAAACAAGCAAACCGCTGCGAGCTTGCTGTGTTTGCTATCACCGGCTGGCTATGGCCGTGGAAGGCAAACGGTTTCACTTCGCCTTGCAAGTGCGAGCCCACAGCATCTACCGGGCCTGTGAAATGTGGGGTCGGCACTCGCCACGAACATGCGTACGCAGTTGGCCTGACCAACGACGTAAGAGTCCACTTTCATCTTTCACTCTTTCACTGACGCAAGACTCCACTGTCAGGCACTCACTGAAAGAGCATGTGGATTGAAACCTCTTTGCAACAGCCTTTCGACTTGACACATCTGGTGCTCCTTCACCCGCAAGTTGCGCCCACGAGGATGCAAAACGCGAGGCCTGCATGAAGTACTTCGGGTGCGCTAAAACGCGCGCCTGCACGCATGTGCCAACTCAACGTCAACGCAATCGGTGGCCAACGTTCACAGACATTCACAGCAAATGGCTGAGGGTCAAAAATAGGTACCCAAGATGGCACGGAAAATGAAACAATGACTAAAACCTGTCCATATCCTGCTTTAATTCTGACCCATATCCAAATGGGTCAACGGGCCTGCCCAACTTGGGTCGACGAATTGCTGTCCAGCCACTTCGAGATGGGCATCCGCCTGGGAAAGACCAAGACTTGTTGAAGCGACTTCATATACAAATCTGGTAGTGAATGCTGCATGGAATTTCCAGGCTCAATGTGGCAGATGCCGCTCAGTTGGTATTGTTGAAGTTGAAAGAAGTTGAATGCGCAACCGAAGTGTTGATTGACGTATCGTGCAAGAACAGTATGGCCAAACAATCAATCCAGGAGTGAAATTACTGCAGACCTAATAAAGAAAGTACCGGATATGCATACATATATATATATATATATATCATATTATTAATTGTAGGACATATATTGATAGATGGCTCCGCATAGCACGTTATTCTCACACACACACACACTTAAACTCCAGATGGAGGGTGCTAATCTTTCGAGTACAACTGATGAGTCTCGAGTACAACTGATGAGTCTCGAGTACAACTGATGAGTCTCTCATCGTTCGAGTACAACTGGTGAGTCTCGAGTACAGCTGGGGTTCAGCTGGTTTTGGAGAAAAGGGCAAAAAGGGGACCTTTGTTTGGGGTGGGCCAGCTGCCATGACGGCCCAGGCGCAGCCCCGCAGGTACGTTTGGACCCGGACACCGGGGGGCGTCTTCGTTGGCTGGAGACCCCCCGGGCCGGCTCCAGCCCCCTGCTACTGTACTAATTGTGGTGACAGGGTATTCTGCCACTCCGCACACACACGCCCCTCACTGAGGGGCAAGAAGTCTCTTTTTTCAGCAGGAAGATCACATACTCAACTTCGTATCTCCATCGTTTACTAAAATATCCACAGCGGCGAGGAGAACGCGAAACTGCCCGAAGCCGCTCAGAAGACGGGAACGAAAGAGCACCACGATGAGCATGACGGGTGTCGCCATAGAAGCCGGGAGGAAGTTGCAAAGCAGTCGAGCGATCACCGTCAGAAATAGGGGGGGCATAGGTGAACATCTCCTCGACTCGGATGATGTCCGAATTCTGCACGTCAACAAGTGATTGATCCTGGGCTTGATGAGTGGAGAAGGACTCAAAGCGAGAAAGAATGCGTTGGTAACCTTGATGTTGCCAGTCGCGAATTGTCCACGCCTGACTGTGTTCACCAGTCCCACCAATGGGATCAGTTACCCGCTTCCACTCCCGAAACAAGTTGTCTGGTAGGTCAGGTACGGCTTCTTCTGGTTGCCACAGCTGAGGTTGTCCTGAAGTACAGATCCGCACCCACTCCTGATCCTGGCAGACTGAATATTCGCGCCATGGGTGCTGCTCAGCGGTTCGGCCCGACGTCTGAGTTGCATCCTCGATGTCCATGCCGAAGTGAAAGACAGGGCGTACCGCGGGTTCCGATCCAGCTAGCAAAGAAACAGTCACCATGCACAACCATGCACAACCAGCAACTACACAAGAAAACTGCGTCGGCTCCACTCCATGGGTCCAAGTTATGAATGTCTGCACATCTTGCTCCAACATGATTTGAACACTCAAACCCGCAAGTCAAAGAGATAAACGCGGTAGCAACCGCAAGAAGTTGCAAAGCAGTCGAGCGATCACCGTCAGAAATTGGGGGGGCATAGGTGAACATCTCCTCGACTCGGATGATGTCCGAATTCTGCACGTCAACAAGTGATTGATCCTGGGCTTGATGAGTGGAGAAGGACTCAAAGCGAGAAAGAATGCGTTGGTAACCTTGATGTTGCCAGTCGCGAATTGTCCACGCCTGACTGTGTTCACCAGTCCCACCAATGGGATCAGTTACCCGCTTCCACTCCCGAAACGAGTTGTCTGGTAGGTCAGGTACGGCTTCTTCTGGTTGCCACAGCTGAGGTTGTCCTGGAGTATAGATCCGCACCCACTCCTGATCCTGGCAGACTGAATAATATTCGAGCCATGGGTGCTGCTCAGCGGTTCGGCCCGACGTCTGAGTTGCATCCTCGATGTCCATGCCGAAGTGAAAGACAGGGCGTACCGCGGATTCCGATCCAGCTAGCAAAGAAACAGTCACCATGCACAACCATGCACAACCATGCACAACCAGCAACTACACAAGAAAACTGGTCTGTCAAGCAATGTACCAGGCCCGTGAAACTGTAGCCACGTCGGCTGCGCTCCATGGGTCCAAGTTATGAATGTCTGCACATCATGCTCCAACATGATTTGAACACTCAAACCCGCAAGTCGAAGAGATAAACGCGGTAGCAACCGGAGGAAGTTGCAAAGCAGTCGAGCGATCACCGTCAGAAATAGGGGGGGCATAGGTGAACATCTCCTCGACTCGGATGATGTCCGAATTCTGCACGTCAACAAGTGATTGATCCTGGGCTTGATGAGTGGAGAAGGACTCAAAGCGAGAAAGAATGCGTTGGTAACCTTGATGTTGCCAGTCGCGAATTGTCCACGCCTGACTGTGTTCACCAGTCCCACCAATGGGATCAGTTACCCGCTTCCACTCCCGAAACGAGTTGTCTGGTAGGTCAGGTACGGCTTCTTCTGGTTGCCACAGCTGAGGTTGTCCTGGAGTATAGATCCGCACCCACTCCTGATCCTGGCAGACTGAATATTCGAGCCATGGGTGCTGCTCAGCGGTTCGGCCCGACGTCTCAAAGCGAGAAGGAATGCGTTGGTAACCTTGATGTTGCCAGTCGCGAATTGTCCACGCCTGACTGTGTTCACCAGTCCCACCAATGGGATCAGTTACCCGCTTCCACTCCCGAAACGAGTTGTCTGGTAGGTCAGGTACGGCTTCTTCTGGTTGCCACAGCTGAGGTTGTCCTGGAGTATAGATCCGCACCCACTCCTGATCCTGCCAGACTGAATATTCGAGCCATGGGTGCTGCTCAGCGGTTCGGCCCGACGTCTGAGTTGCATCCTCGATGTCCATGCCGAAGTGAAAGACAGGGCGTACCGCGGGTTCCGATCCAGCTAGCAAAGAAACAGTCACCATGCACAACCATGCACAACCAGCAACTACACAAGAAAACTGGTCTGTCAAGCAATGTACCAGGCCCGTGAAACTGTAACCACGTCGGCTGCGCTCCATGGGTCCAAGTTATGAATGTCTGCACATCTTGCTCCAACATGATTTGAACACTCAAACCCGCAAGTCGAAGAGATAAACGCGGTAGCAACCGGAGGAAGTTGCAAAGCAGTCGAGCGATCACCGTCAGAAATAGGGGGGGCATAGGTGAACATCTCCTCGACTCGGATGATGTCCGAATTCTGCACGTCAACAAGTGATTGATCCTGGGCTTGATGAGTGGAGAAGGACTCAAGCGAGAAAGAATGCGTTGGTAACCTTGATGTTGCCAGTCGCGAATTGTCCACGCCTGACTGTGTTCACCAGTCCCACCAATGGGATCAGTTACCCGCTTCCACTCCCGAAACAAGTTGTCTGGTAGGTCAGGTACGGCTTCTTCTGGTTGCCACAGCTGAGGTTGTCCTGGAGTATAGATCCGCGCCCACTCCTGATCCTGCCAGACTGAATATTCGAGCCATGGGTGCTGCTCAGCGGTTCGGCCCGACGTCTGAGTTGCATCCTCGATGTCCATGCCGAAGTGAAAGACAGGGCGTACCGCGGGTTCCGATCCAGCTAGCTAGTTTGCGAAGCTGTGTGGTAAAACGCTGATGCAGCATGTCAACATCGCCAAAATATTGATACGTGAGAACCCATCTACCATTACTACATGTTCATGTGCACGATGTAGGAGGTGGTCATCAATGTCTGAACAGCGACACGGAAAAGATATGTCAGGAGTCCACCTGCGTTGCCATGTGCGGTAGTTGTAGATCCTGTCCCCCAAGGTAACTCAAAACTGCGACACCTCAATCTTGAGAGAATCGAATCCGACAAGATGCAAGTCAACGCAAGTTCAAGCCAAGCACAGATCAACACGCGGTCATGCAGCCACCAGCAGCAATTGTGAGACTTAGCCATGATCTGACGGCTGTCTTCCCTTTAGTGAAACCTCGTTCCTGGTTAAATGTGAAATTCCGCTGATCTATGATAAGCACGTTGAGGTCAAATTTTCCGACAGAGCCGGCCCGGGGTCACACAATGGGTACACCCGAGGATTCCCCACGAATGGGGTGTACACACTTAAACTCCAGATGGAGGGTGCTAATCTTTCGAGTACAACTGATGAGTCTCGAGTACAACTGATGAGTCTCGAGTACAACTGATGAGTCTCTCATCGTTCGAGTACAACTGGTGAGTCTCGAGTGGGGTTCAGCTGGTTTTGGAGAAAAGGGCAAAAAGGGGACCTTTGTTTGGGGTGGCCAGCTGCCATGACAATGGCCCAGGCGCAGCCCCGCAGGTACGTTTGGACCCGGACACCGGGGGGCGTCTTCGTTGGCTGGAGACCCCCCGGGCCGGCTCCAGCCCCCTGCTACTGTACTAATTGTGGTGACAGGGTATTCTGCCACTCCGCACACACACACACGTGTCATTTTGTGGTCGAGATCTTGTCATCGCGAAGCACTTCTGTCAACTGACTTTGGCTGCAGATGTGTAGCGCTGTGTGTGAACTAGCGGCTCTCAAACCGACAACATCAAGCAGCAAGGATCCACTCAGAATCAAGGTCAACTTTGTGATGGGGGGTGTCGAAAATATGGGGACCCTTTTTGGATGGTCTTGAAAGGAAACCAAAAACCACCTACCTGAAAGGTCCCAATTTTGAGAAAAGGGGGGGGTCATGCGTGTGGAAAGTGCCGGATGGACCCTCTGCCGGGATCGTCCGCCATACTCAAACGGGCAAGTGCCAAAGAAACCCTCTACGAAATCCGTGCTCAGTGCAAGTTCAGAAAGTGGCATTTCAATGCTAGAGTAATAACAAAGTACACTGTTCCAGCTCTGGCAAAGTTGTAGCACTAGAAATAGTGATAGTACCAGAAGATATGGGCGCGAATCGTCGCCGATTTGCAAGCGCAGCTGCCGGTGGGTGGACTACTCTTAGTGCCCCGGACCTACTAAGCACGTGAACAACCTCGCCATTCAGCAAGGCGGCTTGGGTGAGCCCTGGTGTCCTGACCCCAGCCGATGTATCACGTACGAAGGCCGGGGGTCACACTTCTCTTGGGAACCTGGAAAATCAGCTTCAAGCGTGATTCGTGTCCAAAAGTACGGACCCCGAAGATTAGGAAGGCCTAGTACAAAGCGGTAGTGTCAAAAGGACTGGGACATCGCCCTCGTCTGAAAAGCGAGCTGGCGTCAACCCGCCAGAGCCGAATATTGGGCAGCTGTACAAGCACATGCAAAAACATCGGGCGGGAAGGCTGGGCATGACGAGCTCTTACTCTTGCATCAAATTACGGACTTCAGCGAGTGCCCACAGCTGCACTTGGAAAGGCAGGAGGCCCGGCCATGGGATAGCCACCAGATGGCTTGTAGGTGGGATAGGCCGCCTGAGCGGGTCTCAACTCGTAGCTGGTGCAGGCCGAGCCAGACGTCAATGGCCGGCTCAAGGGGCTGGCAAGCAGGCCGGCCGCGCGCAATCCACCGCACGCCGGCGGAGGACAGCGCGGGCGTTTTCACGCTGTAAGGTGAAGGACATGGCCTGCCCCAGGCGGTCGGTCTCGATTGCCGCCAGTTTGCCGCTGCGCGCAGCCAGGGCCCTACCCAGGACAGCGAACACTTTCTGGGCTGTGGGCCCCCACCCGCCCCCAGAGCCCTCAGCCACGATCGGCAGGAACTGCAAGCCTTGCTCAGCGCAGAGCTGAGCCGTGTTGAGGTGAGCACGCTTGCGGGCCTCGTAATCCGTAGCTGGCCCCACCGCCCAGGCGCCCTCTGCGGCAGCAGCTTGCGGGAGCTGTCCAGGACGGAGTCCACACGTCACGGCAAGATCAAGGGCGGCAGGCCCGTGAATGCCCCAGTTTGCGACCCAGATGTCAGCAGGGCGCCGTCCAGCAGGGTTGGGCACCCCAGTCTCTGGAGCACCGTCGGCGTCCAGCCGGGGAGGAAGGAGGCCAGGCTTTTCCACCTCCACGTGCAGCCCTGCAGCTTGGGCGCGACTGGCCAGGACAGTCCGCAAACGGTTGTGTCGCTTGGTGCGCCGCAAAACCAAACATGGGTGTGTGTCTTTTTTAGGGGTTGGACACACGGCGTTTCCAAACTCGCATTCTTGGGACCAAGCAGTGCAAGTCACACCGAAACGAGAGCCAATGGCGTAAACACATGCGCATGTCTTGGCTGGGTGCGATCATGTCTGAACTTCCATGAGACGTATTGTGAATGAAATTCCGCCACTGTAAATTGAGGCCCCAAGATCCAATTAACATAAATTTGGAATGTCTGTTAAGTTGTCCGCAAGTTTGAGGCTGACTCATGCTAGCAGGACGCGTCGGAATGCCTGGGATGTCTGGGCGCCTGGCTCCTCGTCTATGGGCCCATAAGGCTTCGCCGCCTAGTCGGCCAAATTCCAACATGAAAAACCAAGTGGTGTGAGCCCGCGGCGTAAACCAGCTTGTCCACCAGCCGGCCTAGCAAGTCGCAAGTCTCATCTGTTTCCCTCTATGTCGCCTTAAAACATCGGGACGTATCGGGACTGCGACTACCGTGTTTTTGGGCTCATACGCGCATGCGGGAAGCATTGCGCCAAGGCTCGCTTGATGAAGAGCTGCATGAGGTGGCCAGGCTTGCCACTCTGGCAGGCCTAGCGGGTTGCGACCAAACCCGCTAGGACAAGCTGAAGGAACGCGATTCCGCCCATTCCATGCGTTTTTGTTCCATGCGTTCGCCTTCCCACCGAACTGGGACACGTCCAGGCCATGCTTCTCTGACCTGTGCCCGTGCAGGACTTTGCACCTTCCCTCACTGGGCCGCAAACTCTCGAAGGGATCCAGGCAATCTATGCAAACAGATTGAAACCTTCAGGATTCCGGTAATTCCGGCAGGCAAGTCAGCAGGCTGTGAAGCCTGTTTCGCTGGATACAATGTTGGGTGTTGTACCCAAAGGTTACCATGTTAAAAGCCCTCACAATAGAATCAAATTCGTTGGGACCAGATGAGAGCTTGGCTAGCGGTCTCTGTGTCGAATGTCCTGTTTCTGTTCACACGACCAAATGAAAGGGCTGAGCAAACACACATTTAGCTCGTGAGTGAATAAACCGAGACATGGCCAATAACTGCCGAACAAAATTGCACATGCCAGGTTCCGGCTACTCAGTCCACTTTGCGCGCCGCCCGGATACGTCTCCTTTTGTTTGCAGGAAGGATGGCAAAGCATGAGTTCATCGGTGAAGACATGCTGGGAAAAAGTCATGGGCGGTGGAAGCCAATCTCCCTTCACAAGGCCCCCCGGCATGGCGATGATCTCATCTGCCAGCTTCCGCACCTGTCAGGTATCTCAGCCATCCTTTGTAACGACCCCTCTGCAACAAGTTCTTTACTTATGCTGGGTCCGGAGCAGTGAAAGGCAAGCTTATTCTGAATGTGAATGGAGGCATGATGCAAGCCAGCAGGCAAAGAAATCAGGGAGCGATCAAACAATACGGTAAGTATGGTTCCTGTTTCAACCAACAGTTCAAGCCCAAAGATCCGTTCTTCGCCCAAAAAGGCATCCAGCCTTGCCACCTCGTGGCTCGGCACACCCCTTTGGATATCAAACCAATCCCGCCGGCTCATTCGACCTGCCTTGGCTCTGGGAACATAGCAGCTTTCCAGCAAATTCTCGAGCACCTCACACAGTGCTTCAGCATGAAACTCCATAACTCCCCATATGTTGGGTGAAGACAAATCAAACCTAGATGATGTTCACCACAAAACTCCCAAGCTGAAATTCACACCTGGGCTGTCCGTTTTCAGATTCCCCGCTCAACGTTTCTACTTGTGGGTGAAATGGAAATCCCCACCAAACACACAAAAACCAAAGGCCAAGACACCCAATTCTCAGTGAGCCTTTTGACGGCATTGTGGCGTGTCTTGACTATAAAAAAAAACTACGCGCCGTGTCAATGCGCATCACTTGCCACTCTTCAGCCGAAGCCGCGCCCCGGAAGGAAAGGTCTTTGCAGCTGTAGCCTGGGCTGCTCTCATGGCAAGGGCTAGGATGGTGCAGGCTTGAATGCCAGGGAAGCCTCTCATTGCTTTCAAAGCTATGAACAAAACCGTGCATTGAAACCGGGACCTCTGACATCAAGAGGAGAAAATGCTTCGTGGCCAACTATTTAGTACTTAGTACACCTTCCTGCAGGAGAACACTGTCAAAAATGATCAAAGCTTCTAATTGCAGCAACAGCTGATCGAAAACTTCCACTGGTCAACGTTCATCGACGAAAGTCTGCTGCCCTCACTCCTGAAGGAAAAAAAAACTTCCAGTTGGCGTCATCCTGGAGGCGCCCGTCACAGTGAAGCTGAAGGCACATGACAAAAGCAAAAAGAATGTCAGCCCGGGTCCAACCGGAGATTCGCGCTGTTCAAGCCGCTGCCAACCCTGTCATCATGCCAGAGCTCTGTAAGGAACAAAAAAAATGAACCCAAACATCCCCTTGAAGGAAACCACATTTTGTGTGGTTTATGGGGGTCCTTCCACGTCTCATTCCCTCCCTATCGCACCGGCTCAGCAAAGAGGCCAGCAATGAAGACCATGGCGACACAGGCTTCAGGTCCCGTGGACGCTAAGGAACACATCACGGACCTTGGTCCGCGAGTCCGCGTTTGCTTCACTACGGATTTCTCAGGGCTTGGAACCGGCTCTAACTCATCTGCTGTCAAACGTTCACTGAGTGGAAGATATTGTTCAATAATTGAGTTGATGAGCCGATAACACCTTTTTACCGAAACAAACGTGCGCACGGCCCATACGTCACACCTTCAAGCCTTGCTCAAATTGCGTACGGCCCATACGGCTGGGGCGCCCACAATCCCACCCTGCGGAAGTCTGGGTGATGATCCCGCCTTAGTCTCTTGCGCGCGGCCCACTGCCCTTCACGCAGCACGCAGCCCGTTCTTGGGGCAACAAAACGGATCATGGCGATTCCCATGGATGTATCCCTTGTAATGTGACCATGGTTCAAAACCAATGGTTGAATTTTGGGATAGGTGCACCACCAATTTTAGAACCTATTTTAGTGGGAATTGGGACGTTCACTGGGGGTATGGTGTTTTTTTTTGATTTATAGCCATGTGTGTCTCTGCAGTTGCTTGAGCACCCCCCGGCCAGCATTCATGCAAGCGGCTTGTTGTCAGCGAACTCCTCATGAAACCTGCCGTGCAAGGAAACGTGGCAACCGTCTCTTGCTCGGTCTCCTGTTTAATTGAAAATAGCTGGCTGCGGGACAAAAAATAGGTACCCCAAATGGATCCCCGGTAAGTGGGAACATAGACCAAAACTTGCGGTCCTGGTGGTCTAATTTTGACCCATACCCAGATGGCCCTGGTAGTTGATTGAACAACCAGGTAAACCAGGAATCGCCCCTCTATGTTTCAACCAAATCAACCAAAAAGGACACCTATGCTCTTGCTTCCGGCCGTGCCTCTTCATCAAGCACGCTGCGTCTGGAGTCTCTTTGAATTCATGCCTCGTGCGAATGGACGGGGTCCATTCAAAAACGACATGCCAACCCGAGATCCTCGCACTAGGATTCGAGGAAGAGTTGCATACCTGAAGCAAACGTCCAACAAAACACGCATGGGTGTCTGCCTTTGTCGGGCTAAAGGTGGCAACACCTCGTGAGCCCTATTGAAAATCAAATACAGCACACCCATGAGCTCATTGCTGAGAAGCGGGCTGTGATCGAAAGCGAAACAGCACACTGCCCACCGCAGCGTGCACTTCGTAGATCAAAGCAGCAAAGGAGTACCTGGAGTGAAACGGAGACACATCCCTCTCCGTAAATTGGCACATGTGATGGCTGCTTGCGCCTGGAAACCTGCCAAGCCTTGCAGGCTTCAAATCTGCATTCAAATGTAAATGAGACAAACCGTTAAAGACAAGAAACTGCCCTCGGCCAAGGAAAAGTAAGTTGCTGACTCTGTGCTTCATAGCCACGGACCCCTACACTTCAATGGGGCAGGCTCCCCAAGTTTTGAAACCGCGAATACTGGTCCAAAATGAACAAGAGACGACCTGCAATTTTCCCAGGGCACGAGTGGTAGAAAACTGCCCACTCACCGCACAGCCTCGCTTCGTTGGCTTCGAACTGGGCGAAGCACTTCTGGCGCGAGGCTTGCGACATGCAGCTGCGCTTTCCTTGTGCCAAGGATGCCCCTAGACGCCACCTGGCACTTCTTAGATCAAATCCGAGCTCGGTCCGACTCACTGAATCGACCTGATTCAATTGATTATCCTGTGCGATGTGTTTTGTTCCATCTATTTCTCGGACCAAGACACCCCCCCCGCAGTGCGCATGCGAAGCGAACCATGCAGAGTGCCAGACAGCATATTCATCCCACACTGCCCAGCCTTGGCGTGTTCATTGCCCTCTAGCACCTTGTAGGGGTGCATAGAGGCACCGCCACCTCGCTACAGCTTGATTCAGCGCCTGAAATGATCTCGGTGCCAAGCTAAGCGCCACGCGTTTACTTTGCGGCCCATACCTCATAGAGACAACTTGGCCGCGCGCAATCCCTCGAGCTCGCGCAAACTGGGCCCAAGGCGATTTCTGCAGCGCGGTTTCCGGGGTCACAGGAGCCTAGTCCAGTCTGGCCAAATACTTTTGGCCATTGGGCATGACTGCTTCAGGCTGCTGCACTTGCTCCATCCGGAAATTCCGATAATGCTGCCACATCTTCCTATCGCGACTTCAAGAAACAGCGGAAGTAGAACTCGGCATGGGTCCTCCGGCACAGGTTCTTCCTCGCCTTTGTCCAAAATTCGCAACCTCCGCCTCAGCAAAGTCTACATTGATCAGGTGAAAAACATGCAAACACGCCCTGCAACAAAGACGGCCTAGACCAAAAAGTGACAGAGGAGGTCAGAGAGAGTGAGCCCAGATCCTAAGCATCTGGCGACTTGCCAGTGCTGATATTTGTTTGCTGTCCTCCTCCTTCAGCACCTTCGGCTTGGGCCGCGCAACCAATCACTCTGAACTGTCTCACTGTGCAAATGAATCGCTTCAAGAGATTGGCCCAAGCAACTGAGAAACAAACCTTCCCAAGTATCCCTGAATCTCTGCCCAAAAAAAAGAGAGGAAAAAGAATAGAAAAGAGAAGGCCGCAAAGGAAAAAAAAGCCACGGAGAAGGGGCGGCGTCCTCTGGGGCGCCCACCCGAAAAGTCAATGTTGTAGTTTTGACCACGGGCATGGATCCTTAGGGCCAGACCAGTGCATATGCGGACTCAGCTCGTGCTGAGCAGGGGACGTGAATTTCATCTCCCCCTTTGCCAGCTGTTGGCAAATGGCCCGAGTCCTCGGGACGGAAGGCCTTTTGACCTGGAAACCATTTCTCAAATCAGCACCGAGAGTGACCAAGAATTCCTTCCTCGGCCTGACTTTCACTAAGATGCCAGCTCCTCTGTGGAGCAGTCTCGCCACCCGCCATCCAGCTCAATCTGAATGCGAACCTTATGGCAAGCTGAAACTGATGCTTGGTCATGAGATCACGCTCTGGGAGCCCAGCATCCAAAGGAGCGTCCTCTCCAATGTTCCTTCATGAATGCAAGATTGAGTCCCAACTCAACTCAGACATGCAAACCTGACAATCTTCAGGCTGCTTGTTGGAGCAGCTCTTGCTCTGCAATCAGCCCAGTTGTTCTAATTGCTTATGTGTCTGATATGGACACTCACACATAATATATATATATATATGTATATGTAAATCATGTATATGTACATTGAACACTAATATGATGATCCACAGCGTGGGCATAGTGCAAACGGGCAGCTGGCAGCGGAAAGGAAAAAGAAACTGATCGAGGCAGGCTCCTGTTGGAGGAGGCGAAGGCTCGAGCAGGCGTCACCTCATGCAGCTAGTGCATCTGATCATGCCTTCTGATGTGCGCATTGCCCACTGAGCCGTTTACGGGCGATTTGTCGCCGGCCACCCAGCCAAGATCATCATCCACCTCCGATTTTCTCAAGTACCATGAAACCTGCTCCCCTAAAACAATCTCGATGCTGTTTTCGCGTGCAAGTGAATACTTTTGTATTTGATGCCGAAATCAACGCCACATAGTTGGCCTCCGAAGAACTCCTGGGAATCGCATGCCGAACTTCTCGTCCAACAACCTTTACAAGTGCGCGAGAAACGCGCATGATTCTTGTTGATGGCCACCTGAGGCCCCAACCTCACCGGAAGACCTGGATTCAAAACAGCCCATGACCTGCCAGCACCGAGGAACAAGAAATTTGCGCAACATGCCAAAATTTCGCCGGCCTTTGCCAATGCTCTCAGGCCCAATGTGACATGGTAGGCAACGTTTTGATGAACGGTTATGCTGGCTAGGTCACCTAATGGGTTTTCAAACACCATCAGCTAGAAAGCAATACATTTCGTTCCAACCCACGATGCATGTCCTCGCAAACCATGATTCATGATTCCTGCGATTGAGCTTTAAAGCTGCCCAAAGTTGATTTGGATCCCGTGTGTCGTCATTGGGTGCGCGACTCTAAACACATGATACATTGCCAGGGCAGTTCGGCCACGAACCAGCTCACCACGCACATACACACAAACCTCGAAAACCTAGATATGACATGTTTTGCTATTGACCATGATCTACACAAATTCCACACTCCGCATGCCAAGAAAAACTCACGTTTTCCTTCTTAAATTGACACGCGACTTTGTGCTTGCCCGAAGGCAAACAAAAAGGAAACCGCGACCCGCCTGCATTTCTGCAATTTTGCTTGCGTTTGTGGAGGTAGTGCCATGTGTAGGACGTGACATAGGAGACGGGCTGGGAAAGGGCGACAGGGGCAGTCCGCAACCCTTCCGTCCAAACCCCCCGAAACCCCAAGCAACAGTTCCATAAAAAGCCTCTGCGACCCTTCAGAGCCCTACTCCGAAGACACCACAGCTCGCAGCTGGAAAGTCAAAAAAAGAAAACGGAAAAAACCCGTGGGGTGTTGGTTTCAGCAGGCCAGGCTTTGCATTCTTTGCGTCGTCCACGTCGCCATGTTCTGAGCCTTTCCCCCAACAGCTGAAAGCTTTGGGGTCTCAGCCCAGATAGTCTCCGGGGTGGTCCGGCGCGGCCCTGAGGCAAGGTTCCACGAGGGTTCCACCAGGGTTTCACCAAGGTTCCACCAGGGTTCCACCGAGTTCCACCAAGGTTCCACCAGGGTTCCAGCGAGGTTCTGAGGGCTGCAAGGGCTGCAAAAGGCACGGCGGGCTGTTGGGGGCATCATGGGCAAAATAAGAGTTGTGCCATGTGGATTTTCAAAACCACATTGTCTGCAGCGCCTAAAAATGGAAAGCACACGCCTTTCGTCACGATGCGTCGGTGATTCGCGTCGCAAAAACTCCGCGTGGGCCCGAAGTTTCTAACAAGTTTTCTTGTCGTGCGCCGGAGGTTGTGTCGCACGCTCCCTCCCCAATCCCGCCTTTCTTTAAAGGAGATTCTCAAACCGCATATTGAGGGGTCGTTGTAGTGCAGCCCCGGCTTCCTGCTGCATTTTAACATTCTGGACTCTCGCAGGACGAGGTCATTTTCTGGACGGACGAGTGCGAGAAGCCCCATAGGTGCTGCAATCTGTTCGCAGAAGACTGCCGCCGCCGCCGCCGCTGCCCTCCGCGGGCGCGGGCCGGGTGCGTGCCGGGCGTGTGCCGGGCGCACGGCTTTTTGCCTCCGAACGGGCCACAGGATTGCCGTGCCACTGCCACCCCGCTGCCGCCCCACTGCCAGGCCGAGGTGTGGACTCTTGTCCTTGCGCAAGGGCTCGCGTCTCCTGCGTCAGTTAGAATCTTGATCACTGCTTCCAGCCGTAAGGGATCATGCATCAAAAGACAAAAGAGTACGACCGACAAAAGGTGCGCTCTGCTCTTTTCTTATGAGGAGTTGCTTGGAAGTCCAGGCTCAGGGGTGCAGGAGGAAAAACAAAGCGTGTCCTTTCCCTGCGCCTGCACCCCCATGCGGAGCCTGCTCAAATGCCCCTCAGGTTAACAACGCGTGCTCAACCTTTCACAGGGTGTGTGTTAGAATCCTGTTCACTGCTTCAAGCCAACAGGGGAAACATGTATCACAAACAAGAGTCCACAACCGAAGCGAATCGCTCAGCACTCTTTTTGGACGGTGTTGCTCAGAGGTGCAGGCTCAAGGGCGCAGGTGGAATGACAACGCGTGTCCATCCCATTCTGCCTGCACCCTATGCGGAGCCTGTAGTCATACCCCCCGGTCAACAATGCGTGTTCGACCGTCACGTGAGGTGTGTTACCTTCGGGGCGTGAAACGAACTGGAGGTATGTTGCTGTAGCAGGATGCAATGCGTGCATCCGTGCTATGAGGCAGAATAAAGTTTATTCTGCATGACGCAATGCGTGCATCCAAGCAAGTCAGGTGGGTCTGGAGCGGGTCGACAAGGCGCGAAAGGAGCTGGAGGAGGCCTCCAGAGAGCTCCTCGCCTCGCTGCACATGCAGGGCGACACCGCCGACTTGCTGATGCGGTAAATGGGAACAAGCCTCGTTCGCCCGACTGATTATTTTTTATATAGAAAGCAACTTATTCGGCTCAAGATCAATTTGCACCATGACCTCCGAGCTGTCTTCCCCCCAAGCCTGGCCAGCATGATCGACGACCTCAGGGCCTGCACCCACAAGCAGCTGCCCGAGCTCTTCCCGCTGATGGCCTGGCTTCATCCCGAGCTGCAGCAGCGTACGCCGACCGACTCTCCGCCTCAAAGACGACCTCTCAAACAGCGGCGGACCCACTGCGATCTGGAGCAGGCGTGGGACTGCGTCCTGCGCAAGCTGCCCATGCCCTTCGAGCACTTCTGCGGCGCCGACGCGTGGGAAAAGCCGGCAGTGTGGGAGCGGCACTGCTACGACAGCGTGCTGGCGGGGAAAGGAGGACTACCAGCTGGCAGTCAACACCGCAGGCGTCATGGACTGGGAGACCTTCCGGGAGTTCCACGACTGCTACCTCCACACCGACGTTGGCGGACGTGATGGAGAGCTACCGGCACTCCTTCCGGGCGCAGTACGTCACGCTGCCTGGAGCCGCTGGGACGCCATGCTGAGGCACTCGGCTCGCGAAACCCCGATTCACCTGATCACCGACGAGCAGGCCTACAGAGACGTGCGGGCCTCCGTCATGGGAGGGCTGAGCTGCATCTTCCAGCCGTTCGCTGGGCGAAGACTACAGGCCCGAGGGCCCCGTCAGCTGCATCTCCTACTTGGACTTCAACGCCATGTACCCAGCCGCGATGACGCTGCCCATGCCCAACGGGTGCTGCCGGAACAAGCTGCTGCGAGGCTGAGACGCGCCTGTCCGGGCTGGACTAGAAGGACGCTGAGGAGGTGAGCTATCTGCTCCTTGTGGGCTGCGACTTTCCTCGGAGGTGCACGACCGCTTGGGCTGGGCTCCCCGCTCGCATGAAGGTTGGCAAGGGCCATGGCGGAGCGCCTTGGCATCTCCCCCCCTGCGAGAAGCTCGTGCCCTTTCTTGGCATCCACGTCGAGGAGGGCGTGGACGGCAAGCGCCTCAAGTTCTTGCGGGACGTGCTGGGGGCCCAGGGTCTGGAGGCTGAACAGAGCCTACCGCTCCTGCAGCCCCTTCATGGCCGGCTTCATGGAGCTCAAGCACTGCGAGCGGAGGCAGCTCAAGACGGCGAGCGTGGTCGCCAAGAAGGTGGTGAAGCTCACCCAGAACGCCATCTTCGGCCGCTGCTGCATGAACCCCGACAAGTTCCGGAACCCGAACGCCTACGTGGACCCGGCCAAGTTCGAGCGGGCCGTGGGCAAGAGCTCCGCGACGAACTTCGAGTTCCAGATCAACGACTCGGAGAGTTTCCTGGCAGACAAACCGCAGCAGCGCCTGCATGCCGCACGCTGCAGCTCTCCAAGCTGATGATGGAGAAGGCCTACTACCTCCACATGAGGAGGCTCTTCCCGAAGATGCGGCTGCTCTTCACGGACACCGACTCCGTGATGGCGCAGCCTTCGAGCTGCAGGACCCGCTCCACGCCATGGCTGTTCGACGTGGCCAGGAACCCGAGAGGGACCTGAGCGCGCTTCGGCAGCAGCGCGCGCCAGGGCCATAAAGTGATGGGGCAGCTGGGCAAGCTCGGCGACGAGACCTTAGCATCCTTACGGTCCAGCACAACGGCGCGCACAAGGAGAAGCGCAAGATCAAGGGCGTGTCCAAGAAGGTGGCCAACGTCCGGCATCTTGAGTACTGGGGAGAGCAGCAAGCGCAGGGCACGCAGCCCCGGGCACAAGATCGCCGTTGAGACCGTTGAGAAGAAGTCCCTGTTGCCTTCAACGACAAGATCTACGGCCTCGACGCTTACAGCTCGCGCCCGCTGGGACACTGGCGCAACCTGGAGCAGCTGCGGAGGATCGCGTTAAGATGCTCGAGGAGGAACTGGCGTTTGGTTCCACAGAGAAGAAGAAAAGTCCGCCCAAGCACATGCACGAATGGTGTTTTTTTTAAGACATAACCGCGCAGCCTCTTGACAGATCAAGCAATGACGTTCTCTAGGGCCTTCCGATGCGTGCAGGCCTGGCTTTAGGCTATATACAGGGTTGCCTCCGTCGAGAGTGGGAGATGGGGGCAAGGTTTGGCTTGGAGGGGTGGCCGGAAAAGGCGCTGCGCAGAGATCTCCGAAAATTTTCCGAGCAGCTTCCGAGCCGCGGGGGTGGAGGTGCAGTCCCGCCAGCGGAGGCAGCGTAGCATCGCAGAGACTTCCCTTTTAACTCTCTACGGCGCCCCGTCACTCGAAGTTCGGGGCGGGGGGAACGGCGCCCCCGTGGCTCTGACCACGTTCCAATAATCCCCGCCCGCACCACTCGAGATCGGCCTCGAGCCAGCAGGGCCAGCTCTGCCCGTTGGGCGCGCGTGGCCGGGCGGTGAAGAGCCGTCTAGAAAAAGGGCTGGGGGGTCTGAACCTTTCCCAGTCGTCAGTTTGCGTGCGGGTTGTCGTTTTCCCGCTTCGCGTTGTTAAGCTTGCAGGACCGTCTCGAAACCGGTCGCGCGTTGCGCAACTCAGCATATCGCGGCACATTAGGTCGATTTTTCGCGTTTAACGCTCTTGTTCCGGTCGTCATCCGTCAGTTTCGGTCGTGATCCGTCAGTTTACGGTCGTGATCCGCGGTCGTGATCCGTCAGTTTACGGTCGCGATCCGTCAGTTTCAGTCGCGATCCGTCAGCTTCCGTCAGTTTACGGTCGTGATCCGTCAGCTTCCGTCCGTTTTCGTCAGTTTGCGGTCGTGATCTGTCAGCTTCTGTCCGTTTTCGTCAGTTTCGTATCATGTCGCTGCAGATGTTGCTTTACGTGTATCAAGCTTCACGTGGAAGCGTTTAAGCCCAGCTTGGAGCAACCAACGCTTTTGATGAAAGCTGACGCGCCCTTGAGCAAAAGCTCTTGTTCTTTGGCCTTGGGATGCGCTTGTTGCTTTCCAGTCGGATGGACGATCTGTGCAGCTTACCAGTTTCAGGGCCAGCGGACAGGCGCACTTATCACGTCGCTTGCCAAGAATGCCACCTGCAAGCCGCCTCGCAGCAGTGTGGGTCTGCTCTTCAACAAGCTCATCTGAGCGCCACGCTCAACAAATAGCATGAAACAATGTGCACAAGTTGCCAATCATTTCCTCCGCACTTCTTCAAATGGTTCGGTACTGCATCTGCGCACTTAGGCAGAAGGAGGAATGCCTCAGTGAAACAGCTGTTGACCAGCGCGTCGCTGGTCCTGTACCCGTTGCACGCACATTTTCTGCTCGTCTTGAACACCGCAGCCTGATGTTCAAAAGTGTGAACATTGACCTCCCTTACGCTTCAAGAGTCAAGCAAAAATGCACTGCAACGAATCAACTGTGCCTGCGACTGCACCCTTTGTCACTGCACGAGGTGAAACGTTGTGCCCCAGCATTGCCTCAGCCGAGAATAGCAAGTGACCACAGCTAGCAGTAGCCTGGCAACGATGCAAGTTCACAAGTGTAGAGAGCACTGCTGCGCTGCTGAGGTGCCTCAAACTATGCGGCTCCAGCAGCTCCAGCTGGTAACATGAATCCGTAGCAGTCTGCCCTGACAGCTGGGCGACGGCACAACCCAAAGCTGAAAGGCATCGAATCCGAGTGCTCGGCTTGGATTTGCCGCGGTTGACTGCTGCTTCTTCATCTTCTCTGACCCAGCGGCCGTCCTGCAAAGTCCAGCTGAGACACCGCAAGGGGTGAGGTGTGGGGAAAGAAACAATTGCCCTTGAACACGCAAAGCTCTCCTTCTGGCTGTAAATGTAAATCTTGGATGATTGGAACGGAGAGAAGGAAGGGTCGATTGCCTACAGTGATGTCAGTGAGGCTCACAAAAGTGAAGAGGTCAAGGTGGCGCAGAAAGCTCAAGACTAGCGAGGCTCACAAGCTCTAGGCGCAGGGCCTTCTTCAAGTCATCCACCTGACATCCCCGCAAAGCATGAAGCAGCATTTCCGAAGGCAAAACAAGCTGAAGTAGATCCTTCACAAAGTGGCGCAGCTGAGGTCGCTGCGTTTGTCAAAACACCTTTGACCTGAAACGCGTTGCCAACGATCTCAAAGTCCTTGCCATCCTCGCAACGCACAAGCACTGCAATCCAGTTCACATCCATCCGCTTAACCAGTGGCTCCGCGATTTCACAAACGCAGTGGATTTTGGAGGCGGGGGCTTTGGAAATGCTTCTTTCCTGCGCGTCCCAAAAGGGAATGGACATTGAATAAGAAAGGGCATGGCAGCAAAACATACAAAGTATTTCGTCTTGGAAGATATATTTCAACACATCCTGAGCAATATGCAACCCTGCAATCTATCCCCGCGACAAGCAACAAGAACAACGCATGACAAGGCGTTGTCTTGCACCACCAACTTGCCCGCTGTCAATCTCTCGACTTTGGGAAGTCACATGCGCAGTGTCAAACCTTGTAGGACTGGCATTACTGACCACTTCATGTGTGGGTTCGGCAACTTGTCAAACAAGATCCGAACAGAATCAACCGCTTGTCTTTGAGAATGCACTTCAACATGGACTTGCGTTGCCAATGAACTCCTTGCCGTCCTCGCAAGGCACAAGCCCTGCAACGCAGTTCCCATCCGTTTAACCAATGGACCAATGGCTACAAACGCCTTTGATTTTGGAGGTGGGCGACATTTCGAGAGTTCTTCTGAGAAGGAAGTCGACCCTTTGACAGCTTTCTCTCGAACATGAATGCAGGGCAGGCAAGACTGCACACAGCTGCTGGTAAGGTCCAGGCAGGGCTTCCCAGCTGACAGACCCACACTGCTGGGGGTCGTTGCAGGGCGGCACTGCCTTGCAGGCGACAATCTGTGCAACGGGACAAGTGCGCCCGTTGGCTTTCACTGAACATGGTACTGGTCGAGCCTTGGAAACATCTGCGATACATCCAACTAGAAAGCAACTGACATTCACACTGAATCCATGACAATGTAGGAGCTGGTTGGATTTACTCAAGGGCATGTTTGCTCACCAAAGCCAGGAGTCATGGACCAACGTGCAAATCCAACGCAGGGCCAAACACCCTGAGTCTAAAGGGACGCTAACAAATCAGAAAAGCTCGGCAAAGGCACTTGTGAAAAGGGACCCAACGAACTGCCCTGATTTCGAGCATGTTGGTTGGCTTGGTTCCTTGCAACACGGCAACGACCTTTGGAAAAAGAAACTGAGCTGCAAATTGAAGCAAACAACATTGGAACGCTTGCCTTTTGCTGGTAGCCACCCTTGCCAAGTAAACCAACTCGAACAGGGTTTTGTCTTATTGGTGTGTGTGGTGCTGATTAGTTCGCTTCAACGAGAAACACCACCAGCAAAAGCCTTCCAGCCTGGAGCAGGCGGCTGCGTGAAGTTGTAGAAGCGGCTCAGGAAAGGAATGCGAACCGTTGTACTAGACACCCCATCTCTGGTCCTCTCGGCGATCTGCTTTACAACCTGAAAGTCCTCATCACCGAGGAACATCTTCACATGGCTCGGATGTGGGATCACAAGCTCCAAATCTGTTCGCACTGTCAGTGCGTTTCCTTTCGCTTCCAACCTTGTTGTGACATCCTGCCATGTTCCCATCCAAATCCGTTTCTGCCATCCTGTGGACTCCACGGGACGGTACAGCAGCCCGCCATGTTTCCTTTTTCCTTCTTGGTAACAGCCTGGCGTGAGTACCAAAGGCTTCTCCTCTCCAACCCAGTGACCCAGCGACTCCTTCAGCTTCAACGCAATAAGCAACCATAGCACGCGCCCCTTCCCAATGCTTTTGGCAACCTCCTCACGAATATCAGCAAAGGATACTCCAATTGCCAATCCACTCTTATCTTGCACCTCTATTGTGACCTCGGGCAGCTTGATAAACAGGTCCGCACTGCTCGATTTTGAGGCTGGTCTGTACAGTCTGTTGCTGCTTAGCTGGTTTACAGCTCTTGCAAGATCATTGGGGTGCAACTGGTGTTGGGGAGTGCAGAACTGACCTTCTTTCCCAGTTGCGCCGCGGCAAGGGTGACTCTTGGGAAGGTGTGGAGCGGACATGAACGATCAAGGGCAACTGGCATGCTCTGTGCTTGGGTTCAATGTAGCAATGGCTTCATCACATCGCCCCAACTCTGCCCAGCTTGCAACATGTAAGCTTGAACAACTATTCGTTGTTCCACCATCCGTTCCAAAAGGTTTTCAGCACTGACTCCTGTGGCTTCACCGCCCATCGGCAATCTGAATTGTATGTGTCTCGCACAAACTTATCAATCATCTGCATGTGAGAAATGTACAAAGCATCTGGCGTATCGTTCATTGGTCCAGGTGTGATATAAACGTTCAAGCGGCCCAGCAAGAGCTCCAGGCTGTGTTCTTCGTCGCCCACCGGCAGTTTCGTCTCACGATGGCAGGGCACACGCAGCTGGGCCAACAGGATCAAGTACAGCCACGTCTGGCGCCACTCAGTCTCATCCGGCTCCGACAGAAACACCTCACTGGCCACTGCCCGCACTTGCTTCAGGATCTTATAAACTGCATCCATGGCCAGCTCTGCATTTTCGAAAAGCTCATTCCTACTTGCATGCAAGTGATGCAGAGCCCGAAAACTGTAGACCAAGAGTCGCGGACTGCCTCCTGTCCACTGCTGCAAAGCCGCTGGCAACCAGCTGACCTTTGCCAGGGCAGGCGACAGCAAAGGCGGAGCGGTGTCAGTCGATTTTTCGAGGATGTATGCGATGTGTTCCTCCTGGCAGGCATAAACAACACTAAGGAAAGCCAAACCTGTTCCGGGCAGCATTGGCCTAAGAACTTCAATCGAAGACTTGAAACATGTCAAAGACCCAGTTACCCTGCATTGACTCCTTCAACAAATCCAGAATGATCCATTTTGTTCCAACAGGAGAGCCAGCTCCACCCAGCGCTGTCAACGGGACATTCTTGCCACTGGTGTAAAAGTAGATGCGTGGCATTTCGCCATCTGTCCGCAGCATCAGACGCCAGGTCTGCTGCACTGCATCACGCAAATCCTTGACATTGCCTCCTAGGTCCCCGACCTCATCAAAGTGAACAAAAAGCGGTTTGTGCAAGTGTTGAGCTTTGGTGAGGAGGTAATGAGCAATGTGGGCCGGAGTGATCTGTGGCTGTTGACCAAAACCGTGAAAGTCCAGTTGTAGTCCGACGTCACTCAGGGATTTGCAGCTTCTCAAATCACAATATTCTGTTTCGGACCTCTGTGCCAATTTCAGCTCTTCCTTGCATTTATCGTCCATGTCCTTCACGTCTTTAAACTTGTGGAAGTCGGGGTCACTCAGCTGCTTGACAAAATTCCGCCCAAGGGTTGTTTTTCCACTTCCAAACATCTGTGCAGCTACAGCCACACTGCACGGTCGCCAATTTGTAATGGTAGCCAATTCTGTTTGCCGACATTCAAGCAGTTTGATGATCACATTGGCATTCGCCTGAAAAAGGTGGAAGACTTCGCTGTGCCGATTGACGAATGGCACCTGGTCATCTGGGAGGACTCCAGAGTATTCTCCGATGCCAAGGATTTTGTCTTGCCAACTGCCTGTCCCTTCTGCACGGCGCTGACGCTTTGCAGCAGGGTCTTCGAGCTCTCCGGCCATAGCAGTCAAGGGGTTTTATTGGGCAAAATGCCGGTGCATGGAAAGTCCAAGAATGGCTTGACGACAGGTTTGATGGTTGAAGCTGAGCATCCAACACTTGATATCGGACTTGCTACTCACATGTGCATTCCGCAAGCTTTGTGCTGAGCCCTGCGCCGTGCCCCACAAAAAGGCAGTGACACAACTCTTGCAATATCAATCATCAGAGACACTGGGTCTGGAGCGCCGCAATCACACATTCTCAGTGCCATGCTTCACCGCAGCCTGTGTCAAACAAGAACCAACGCACTTGAGAATTTCATTTCTTGTGGGTTTCAAAATGTGTCTTTTCAAAAAAGGGACACAGCTCGTAAATCAAGCACAAAAAGCCATCTCGAGATGCGCGGTGAGGGAGGCCGATGCCAATTGCATCAAAAAACTCATATGGCCCACCCTCAAGACACAAGCATGGCCATCCGCTCACTATAGTTCAGATTGACGAAAACTGTGCTGCTGAAGAACACACCCAAAACAGCAAGCTGTTTTCCCCGTTTCTTGCCCTTGCAACATACTGTGGCCACCTGAAACTACCTTGCCGCATCGTGTCGCCAAATGAGCATCCGCGGCGACCGCAAAATATCGCAAACGCGCCGCTACAGCGGGCATTCCACGCACTGCGGCTCCAAGCGCACGTCCGTTACCTCAAGCCTCAGGCCGCACTAGCCGCTCGTCATCCACATTCCGCGCACCCGCAGCCAAACCCGCGCCGCAAGCGTCGAGGAGCTCAACTCTAAAGTGACGCCTGACACTGCAAAAGCAAAAAACATCGCTAGAAACATAGCATCTGGAAATTTGGAAATTTGGAACTTGGAGCTGGGCTGTGATCGAAAGGCACCTTTTCTGAGCCCACTTCTGAAACCATAGAATGGGTGGGACTTCTCCAAGTTTCAGCAAAAATCGGCTGCGGCATTGGAAAAAACTACAGCGGGCACTCGCGAGACGGTGGCTCCACACGCAGATCCGTGACCTCAAGACTCAACCCGCACACGCCGCTCATCAACCACAAGCTGCGCGCTCTCAGCCTAACACGCGCGGCGCAGTGGGCGAGCTCTGCGGGACGGTCCGCAAACGCGCCGCTCGCGTTCCAGAAAAGCGCGCGTGGGCAGGCAGTTTGGCTTTCAGCATCCAATCGCCGCCGCGCGATTGCCTCACAGAGGGCAGCAGCCGCTGGCGCACGGCCTCGGGCGTGAGCTTCGCGTCGAAGACGCGCTCGGACGCGGCCGCCAGCTGTTCGACCAGATCGGTCTCGGCCCGCTCCCAGAAGAGCCTCGTGCGCTCGTCGGTCGCAAAGCTCACGCTGGGGCGCTAGCCCTCGGAAAAGGCCCTGGGCTCCTTGATGGCTTGCACTGCGCCCCGCTCCACCTCCTGCGCGCGCTGCCCCGCCTCGTCCAGGAGGCGCTCGACGTCGTCGGGTCGACCTATGATCTGAGGCGGCTGTGGCTCCGGGCGGGGCATCACGTTCAGGCGCACGTACTCTGCTGCGTCCTGGGGGAGCTGTGCTGGAGCGGCCGGGCTGGAGGTGAAAAGATCCGTCTCGGACTTGGGAAAAAATCTAAGGTGAAGCGCTCACCGGGCTGGAGGTGAAAAGATCCGTGCGTGTCGGGAAGATCTGTTTCGGACCTGGGAATAGAGTTATTCTAAGGAGAGGGGCTTGGAGGGGTAGAGCTCCTTCAGCCTCGCCTTGGCCTGCTCCAGCATGGGGCACCCCTCCTCGCCGACCCGCAGCCACTTCACAAAGTTGAAGATGCCGGGGTCGGAGCGCATGTTCTCCGTGAGCTTGCGCCGGTGCCCGCAGGCCAGGTCGCGGATCAGCTGGAGGCGATAAGATCCGTCTTGGACTTGGGAATACTGATATTCTAAGGTGAGGCGCTCACCGGGCTGGAGGTGAAAAGATCCGCCTTGGACTGGGGTTTAATGTTATCCTAAGGAGAGGCGCTCACCGGGCTGGAGGTGAAAAGATCCGTCTCGGGCAGGGGTTTAATGTTATTCTAAGCAGAGGCGCTCACCGGGCTGGAGGTGAAAAGATCCGTCTTGGGAAAATCCGTCTCGGGAAGATCCGTTTCGGACCTGGGAATAAGGAGAGGCGCTCACCGGGCTGGAGGCGATAAGATCCGTCTTGGACGGGGAATAGAGTTATTCTAAGGAGAGGCGCTCAGGACTGGAGGCGATAAGATCCGTCTCGGACTTGGGAATAAGGTTATTCTAAGGTGAGGCGCGCGATAAGATCCGTCTCGGACTTGGGAATAATGATATTCTAAGGAGAGGCGCTCACCGGGCTGGAGGTGAAAAGATCCGTCTTGGACTGGGGTATAACGTTATTCTAAGGAGAGGCGCTCACCGGGCTGGAGGTGAAAAGATCCGTCTCGGACTGGGGTTTAATGATATTCTAAGGAGAGGCGCTCACTGGGCTCCAGGCGATAAATCCGTCTCGGGAAGATCCGTCCTGGGAATAATGTTGTTCTAAGGAGAGGCGCTCACCGGGCTGGAGGCGATAAGATCCGTCTCGGGAAGATCCGTCTCGGGAAGATCCGTCTTGGACCTGGGAATAATGTTATTCTAAGGCAATAAGATCCGTCTCTGACCAGAAATGATCCGTCTCGGCTCAAGGGAAAAATACTTCTCTAGGGATCGCCGGATTAAAAGGCTGGAGCGTAGCCCACGTCAGGGCGGAATCGAGCCCGCAGCCTCCAAGCTTCAGAGCTGCAACGCCTCTTCCGATTGAGCTATGGAGCCTTGCTAGTCCAGCACCGAGACTCCCGTGCCAGAGGGCGTCACCAGCTGGTCGGCTATCAGGTGGATGAGAAAGTGAACCGAGCCAGGTCGCCCGAGCGGGTGCTAACCCCGCTCAGGGGCATCTCGGGCACGCGCTCGGTCGGGAAGCCCGCGATGATGCTGTGGCGCAGGTAGCCCGCACGGTCAATGTCGATGTTGCGCACCGTGTCGTCGTAGGTCCCCGCAAGGACCAAGAGGAAGTGGAAGTGCTCCGAGGCTCCTTTGTTGCGCAGCAGGACGTACGCGCAGGCAGCCCGACGCCCGGCAGGGCCTCTCTGAGCGCCCGGAGGTGCCCGAAGTAGAAGCGCCTGTCCACCCCGCGCCCCACCAGGCGCAGCAAGGAGCGCAGGAAGACCGGGTCTTGCCTCAAGTAGCAGCGGCGCAGGTTTGCGACGGGTTCGAAGGCGTCGACGCCGCGCACCTCCAGGCCCGGGCGCCGGGCGGCAAGGTAGTACTCCAGCTTTCCGGAACCGAAGAAGGGAGAGTGAAGCACAGCGACGTCCCTCAGCAGCCGCCCCATGTACTTCAGCAGCGTGCCAGCCTTTAGTTTTATCCCGGAAAACTCCGTCAGCGCACTGCTATACAGCAGGGCGCTGACAGACTCGCCGCCCGGCTTCCCGGCTTCGAATTTGGCAGGTGAAACAAAGGGATGGGGAAGATCAAGCTGTTTCCTGTGCCTGAATACAGCAGCAAACAATCCTCTGATCCCGTGGCGCCCCTGGTTCCGTGCACGGGCCATCAAAATCGGGCAAAACCGTGACTCTGATCAGCCTGATTCTGGAGCAGTATCGCGGCGTGTTTGAGAGAATCTACATCTTTAGCCCGTCCATCGACATTGATGACGGCTGGGTTCCCGTCAAGAAGTACATCGAAGAGGACCTGGGGGTGAACACCGAACGGGAGCAAGCGTACTGGGACGAGTGGGACGAGGCGGCGCTGCGCCGCATCATCCTGCAGCAGCGCAAGATCACGGAGGCATCCAAGAAGTTGGAGACGAAGAAACTGTACCAGGTCCTGATAATCTGTGACGATATGGCTGATATGCCTCAGCTCCACAAACCCAACGGCGCCCTGGATACGCTGTTCATCAGAGGCAGATCAGCACCTGGGTGAGCTCGCAGAAGCTGAGGCTCATAAGCGCCGCCGTGCGGGTGAACATCCAATTCCTCTGCTGCTGGAGCCTGCGCAACCAGCACAAGCTGGACGCCGTGGTGGAGGAGCTCAGCGCCCTGCTGCCGAAGGAGCAGCTGCACCGGCTGTATGAGCAGGCGACGCGGGAACCCTACAGTTTCCTGTTCGTCTACTATCTGAAGCCGAAGAACGAAATGCTCCACATACGCTTCGAAGAGCGCTTCGTAATTGAAAACGCGCTCAGCTTCCTGGGCCAGAAGCTGTTTGCCAGCTCCACGCTGATCAACGCGAAGTGTGAGAACATCTCCTGCTGCACCTCCGTCGCAGCCGTCCAGCCACCCGTCGTCCGCCGGACGGGCGGTTTCCTAAAGAAAAGGATGACAACGATCTACGTGGACAGCCGCAAGAGGGTAGCCGGCTCGGACAGCGACTTTGAGGTCAACCTGGGAGAGTCGCTGCACCTGCACAGCGACGCCCGGCTCGCCGTC